CCGCTTCGTCATGCCTAGAGCTGATCTGTGCTGGTCGCTGAGGGAATACATCAACTTTCACTGTGGACGAAGCGGAATCCAGCCCGGGGTCCGTCACATGTGGTTGCCGCTCATCCGTCGGATCCGCCGGGCGCGCCGTTCTAGCTAGCCCGGCCTCAGCTCACTCTATCCCGGCCTCAGCGCACGCTAAACCGGGGCTTCAGCTCACGCTAGCCCGGCCTCAGCTCACTCGATCCCGGCCTCAGCGCACGCTAAGCCAGGGCTTCCCCTCACGCTAGGCCGCTGTGTGTTTCGTTGTGAAAGCGAAACTACTTTGTTTGGTCTTCCAAAAGAGGACACGACTACAAATCAGTGGTTAAGTTGTATTTACAACACTATTTAAAGTGAGTTTTTTGGGCAGTGTAGAGTAGTGCTTGTTGTTTGTCATTTCTCCGATTACAAATGCAGACATGGTTTTATGTTTACGCGGCGCGATGCAACGCATAAAAAGACAGTATAAGTCATTATAATCAGTAATTATGTCCCCACTGGATGCAACAAATGCCTCGTTTGTAATGGGTTTTAATGTTTTTGTCTTTGTAACAGACAAAAAAAAACGGACACGGCATCAATAGTATGTGAGGGGCGTAACATTTCCGTCACACGCTTGAGGTATTCGGCCAATCACAACGCACTGGATAGCTGGCCAATCACAGCACACCTCGCTTTTCAGAACGATGAGCTTTGTAAAAATCGACGCGTTTCAGAAAGGCGGGGCATAGAGGAGAAACAATAATGTACAGTATGTGGAAAATAATGTGTTTTTTGAACTTTAAACCGCATAAACACATTTCATTACACCAAATACACAAAATAATGTTCTTTTTAGCAGCATCATATGACCCCTTTAAATTGTGTTCCAAAGATGAACGAAGGTCTTACGAGTTTGGAACAACACGAGGGTGAGTAATTAATGACAGAATTTTCATTTTTGGGTGAACTAACCCTTTAAGAAAATTGACTATTGTTTTATTATAGCCTAGTAAAAACTTTTTTCATTTTATTTTTTCATGTATTGATTACCATTTGTATTACCACACAAATACCATAGTTTAACTATCGTTTAGTAGCAAAACCATTGGTTTTAATGTTTAACATGGCATAACTACAATAACCATGTTTTTCTGAATTTATTCATTGTAAAACCATGGCAAATTTTTGTAAGGGAAGCTATGGTGCAAACAATAGACGACCACGTACGATCGCGTAACTTCAAAGGGTCATTCAGTCAGATAAATCATGTAAACATTTCACACTGTAAACGCATATATGCATACAAACATAGGTCGGTAACTCCAACGGGTCAATACAACACCACAGAATACAAGTCCACTAAAGTTTTATATATTCCAGCTTTTAACGTTACCGAGTTGTGCAGTTAGCTAACGTTACGTTAAATACAACAAAACATTTTTGCAGCCATCATACATACCATAAACTGATCCTCCAGCAAACATAGGCGTCGAACACATCGTCGTCTCCTTTGTCTTCTGCGAAGTGCTGAAGACAAATGCAAAAAAATAGCTGTAACCCACACAACTGAGTTCACTGCAGCTACCGACGGCATCTTGGAAGTTTGTGATAAACATCAGCGCATTTTCTTTGACGTAGGAGCTAGCGATGACAAATGATGACGTGTAACGGTGCAGTAGTGGTGTCCCATTTCTTAGGGGAATATTTTTAGCCCTACTTCTTGACATTATGTTTCAAGGGGCAAGGGGAAGGGGTATAAAATAGAACTGGGATTGGGCCTTAATCGCTAGATCGTCCTTGCCAACTGACTGCCTTTCAATATCATTATGGAAAGCTGAAATTTGCAACTACTTATACTTTTAGCATGGAGCGCACACGGCCATCATCTAAGTGCTCTTGTAAAAAGGATAGAATGGATGAGATCGAGCTGGTAACTAGATCTATATTCTTTAAGCCGCACCAATTCGTGAAAACCTTCCATTTATGAGCCGCCTGGTGGACTGGGCTCTCGCTTCAGAAATGGTTCTCTTCACCATACACTGCACCCCTGTAATGTCTGCACATTACATTCTCTTGCAGGCCTCCTTACACACAGGCAAATACATAATAGTAGAATAACTTGATACATAAATGGCTATATTCACATTGATCATACTTGACTAATTCATATTTTGATTAATACAAATCTTCTACAATCCCAGTTCCATGACAGTCGCATGTGACAATCCCATCAGCCGAGGCTCCCATGTATGGCCAATTGGGATTCAGCCAAAGACCACTTTCCATACAGGAGAAGCCCTCATGCTCCAGACGCAGCCGCCTTTTATACTGGCTTGTGCCTCATGTTTGCATCCGTAACTGTAAAAAGCACACAGAAACAATCAGCAACAAATTAAATGGTGATTTAATATTTAGTGTTGAATTTAGAAACTTTGCAACATTATTGCAGTTCAATGGTTTAAATATTTACCATTATCCTAACCCCTGTACTTAACCCTACCCCGCCTAACCCTTCTTTTACAAGCCCATACCTTTATGGAGACCCTTGTGGTAGTCTTACTGAAAATCTCACCTCTGTCTTATCCCAATTCAAGCCCCAAATACCTTGTCGTATCTGTTGTGAACTTCTGTGCCTCAGGATAGC